AAGTTTATTCCAAAAAAACAAGAAATGACATGGCAAAAAATTAACACAAATTATGTGACTCGCTGATGCATGCTCACAATATGAATGAATGAATTTTTATATATTGTTTAGATAACTTCAGGTTTAAAAGGGATAATGAGACTGTATTCTGTTTAAATGGAGCTTAGTAATGTTTATATCTTGTGAAATATTGATGTCTGTCTCTCTTATTTCTTTTGTGTTGCAGGTTTTTGTTTTGGTCTCATATTACCAGATTCTCAGACAAACTATGACAGTGTTTTTCCCACAAGGAATCGCTCAAATAGCTGAAGCACAAGTGTCCATCAACAGGCTACAGGTATGTGCATTTGTCTCGAAATGAGTGGATGTTTCATTTCAGTTTATTGTAAATTTTGTTAAAGAACTTGATGAGTATATGCTAATGTGTGCATACAAGTCTGTAAGTCACAACCCAGAAGACCAGAATATGTGGTCACCTCCATGAAGACCTAAAAAGTTGCATGATGAATATAGTCAAAGAAAACTGAAGAGAATTGGAAACAAGTGACTCTGCCTGTTATTATCGTTTTTTCATTAGGTGTAAATGGAAATGTAACAAAGAACTACGCTTATCATTTTAAAAAGTAGACACGAATATTTTGGATTTGAGGTTCTCATGTCAGTGTCTGTGGAAAGCACAGCCTTCTGCATTATAATGCTGTGTAGTTTGGACAGAATCAGAGATTTCAGAGGATAGTGATCCAAGCAAGAAACCAGCAGAAGCAGGCAGCAAGCTGAGGAGACCATACTCCTCAGAGACAAGAATTTATGTGGTAAATAAAGAAATAATGACATAAATAGCTTGAATATGATCATGTAGTGAAATATTATTTCAGAACATTGTAACACATTCTAACGCCTGTAAATTCTCTATTAATGAATTGGAATTAAAATATAGGGAAAGAATATTAAAGTAAAGAAATTAATTGTGAAATTGTGAATAGAATATATGACAATTTTTGTTACTGTGTAGCTCATAATCTTATGTAACTTTCTCAAACATTAAAGACCACAATTAACCACACTATAGGCTATATTTAACATGCAACACATCAGTGTTGTTCCATTTCTTGAACCAAGCTCTGTTCAGACAATATCCAAAAACAAAAAGACTGAGTAGCAACAGGAAAAGAACCCAAACACCTCCAAAGAAATAACAGAATTCAGACTCAGAAATAAATAATATGATCTTAACTAACCAAAATATTAATTTAATTATTACATTTATTTCCTTCTAATTTAAAATATTTATTTAAATGTATCGAAAGAAAATTTACAGTGGAAATGATGGTATGTCAGCTAGTGTGATGGGACATAAAATGCTTATAACCTGAAGATGATTACACTATAGCCAGAGCATGTCATTTCATTAAATAATGAATTTATGTCAAGTGTATGATGAGAATGGATTTGTGATAAATAAATAATCTGGCATACCCAGTGAAATATAATAATTTAGAATTATAGGAGTACAGTATATTACTTCACCTTTTGTTTTGCTCAGGTAAATTTTCATGTCAGGCTCTAAAGGAAAGAGGTATTGTCTAGAATGGAGAGGCCTTCATTATTTAGCATAATGAGATATTGGTTTGTGAAATCTGCAAACTGTTAGAAGTTTCTCACTTGTGTCATGCAGTGCTAGTGTGGATGGATTGAGCGAGAACCATCACAAGATGCATATAACTACTCCAGCATTTTCTTGCAGTAAATGATGTTTGACCTTTGCTGGCCATTCATTATATTATTTTAAGAGCGCTTGGATGTGGTCCAGATAGGTAACATTAACATAATTATGGTTGTGGTCTTCTGGGTTGTGCCATTTATGTAGTCAAGAAGGTGAATACCATCATTTTGGTGAAGCGTACTGCCTCCATCTTCAGGCTTGAAGTGTGTAGGGTAAGGAATTTGTTGGTTTCTATGCAGGACTCCGGAAAGGGCTGTCTTCTGTTACAATTATAATTTCCCTTCTTTCTAAGAAACAGCATGGCCCTCAAAGGGGCTGTCCTGCTTGCCCCAATGTTTTGATAATTGTTTTGTGTGTAGAAGTTCATGCTGTATGAAGAGAGAGACTCAGAGGTAGTGGAACATGAACCAGCAGCTAATAATGGGCTTCAACATGATGGAGTCAATGATGTTGGAAAGGAGGAAAGAATAACATTAGGCATTAGAATAACTAATGCAACTGCTCAGTGGACGCCAGTGTCGCATGAGAAGACACTGAACAAAGTAACGGTGGATATCAAGCCTGGAATGCTGGTAGCTGTCATTGGGCCCGTTGGTGCTGGGAAGGTGAGAACTGCCCCTTGGTTAGCATAGTGTTCATTGTGCCACAGGCAGATCTTGTGTTCTCAATTTGGTATTTGATGGCTTGAAAGAGGATGAGGTGGCTAATCATGTATTGTGCATGGGAGACATCAGGAATATGTATGCAACTTTTGGCAATAAACTTGAGAAGAAAAGACCTGCTGGAATGGTAGACGTATATATGAGGATAATATCACTGTGAGTCTTAGAGGAATAACATGCGAGGGTGCATGCTTTCTTCTTGTCCAGGATGGAATCCAGTGATGGGTTCTTGTGAACGTGGTTTTTTACATTCATGCTCCATAAAAGTCGGGGAATAATTTGAGTAGCTGAGTTACTGTTAGCTTCTGAAGAAAGATTTTGTTTAATGTAGTTAATTTACTACCTAGAAAACTAAGAACATATTGTAACGTGTTTACGTTACTGAAGACGCCGTAGAGATGGTTAATTGGTTTATTTAACAATCTTCAAATAACGGCTGCAATTAATGATAACAATGTTACGGGTTTCCACACTTTACAAACCCTAGAACAAAATCTCTTAACACTCTCTTCGAGAGTCTTCACGTACTAATAATGCGGGAGCTATACAAATCTCCCTGAATTACACTCTCCAGATATGACTGGTGATCACTGCTTATCGCACACGCGGCTGTAGCTCTTAACTTGCGAACTGAGAAGTCGTTGATAACGCACTCGGCGACTGTCACAGTACAACTACTGTGAATAGCCTTCGCTGCTCCCTATGTAGCCTCGATCGGACAATGCGGCCACGTAATAGGCACCCTTGTTGCTAGCCACGCTGTCCGGAGTTGTTGACGGCTGCCTAGTAACCGCGATATCCCTTGGTGACGTCACCGCGTTGACTTGCGTTGCCTAGCGACCAGGATGCTAGGACTCGGCTAACATCGGCT